CCCAACTCTGCCTCCCAAATGCTGGGATTAAAGGCATGCTCCACCACGCCTGGGTGTTTTTTAATTTAAATAGTTCACTTGGCAGAATGCTTGCCAAGCATGCAGAAGACCCTGGGTAAAAGATTATGATACCCAGCACCACATAAACTGAGCATGATGGCTCACATCCATAATCCCAGCCCTTTTGAGGTAAACCAAAGAATCAGAAGTTCAAGGTCTCCCTGGCTAAATACTAACTTTGAGACCAGCTTGGGCTACATGAGATCCTGTCTCAAATTTTAAGAAAAGGAATACATCCCTTTCATGAGGAAGGAACTGTTAAAGCCTAACACTCTCTTGGTGAGGGTCAGCCATCTCATAATACTACCATGCTGGGATAGAATTTAGCACTACCATGCTGGGATTAAAAGTTAGCAAATTCTCTTTCCCTCTTAACTTCTGGTAACTACCATCTGTGCTGATTAGTTTTATTGTCAACTTGACACAACCTAGCGTCACCTGGGAGCTGGGAAGTGGGCACTTCAATTAAGGAATTTTCTGAATTAGATTGGCCTGTTGCCACATCTGTGAGAGATTATCTTGATTGATGAATGATATAGGAGGGTCTAGCCTAGTGTGAATAATATCATCCCTAAGCGGGTGGTCCTGGGCTACGTAAGAAAGCTAGCTCAGCATGAGCCAGTAAGCAACGTTCTCCGTGGTCTCTGTGTGCTTCCTTGGCGGTGAATAAGTTCCTTCCCTGACTTCTGTCAGTGATGGATTATGGACTGGGAAGTGTAAATCAAACCCTTTCCTCTCAGGTTGCTTTTGGTCAGAGTCTTTGATAGAACAACAGAATGATATACACCTCTGTCTATTCTAAATGTTTCATACAAATTGATTCATACGCGCTGGCTTCCTTGACTCTCCCTCCTGTGTCTGGCAGGCTGCAACTGCTGCTGGGCTGCTGCTATGGGGAGCCATTGAGAGTGGGGCCCTGAGCACTCTGCCACATGCCTTGGGCTGCCAGCGGGATTGGGCAGGAGGGCGGGGAATTCAAAACAAAACAAAACAACAAAACAAATTGATTCATACAACATATCTTTTTTTTTTTTTTTTTTTTTTTTTTTTTTTTAAAAAAAAAAAAAAAAAAAAAAGAGGACGATAAATCTTTCACTGTGATATATCAAAATAA